CGAGACCTGCATGATCTTCTCCTCGCCCTTCTGCCGCGGAGGCCGCGTGGAGCACTTCTTCTGCGACATCGCCCCGGTGCTGCAGCTCAGCTGCGCAGACAGTGCGCACAGGGCGCTGGGCATCTTCTTCCTGAGCGTGCTGGTGGTGCTCTTCTCCTTCCTCCTCATCCTCCTGTCCTACGCCTTCATCGTGGCGGCCATCCTGCGGATCCGCTCCGCCGCCGGCCGGCGCAGAGCCTTCTCCACGTGCGCCGCGCACCTCACGGTGGTCGTGGTGCATTTTGGCTGCGCCTCCATCATCTACCTGCGGCCCGACTCTGGGGCGAACCCCGCCCGGGACCGCCTGGTGGCTGTGTTCTACACGGTGGTGACGCCGCTGCTCAACCCCGTGGTGTACACTCTGCGCAACAAGGAGGTGAGGGTGGCGCTGAAGAGGACCCTGGCGCGCAGCGGCGGGCTTTCAAGATGAGGCCTGGCTTGGCACTGTTCACGAGGGTCTAGGTTCTCATGAACAGATGCCCCTCCTGAGACCCAGATCCCCCACCTGGAAAACAGGACTGCCTTTCATATTCCTCGTAAAGATTGACGCGTTTGTATTTTTTAATTTTTCTTCTCCAGTGCTGCGACAGGCCCCACAGCCTTGTGCACATTGGCAAGCGCTCTACCTCGGAGCCACCTCCGCAGCCCCACGTCGTGGGATCTTCATTCTCAAAGCAACAAGTGTGAGAGGTGGAACTAGAAGAGAGGATAAGGTCGTGAGTGTTCTAATCTTTTGAGTGGATTAATGTCAACATTGGGGAAGTAGATAAGTGACCCTTGGAGTGGTCTCAGCCCCCTCCCTGTCTCTAATGCTCTCCTGCCTTTCTACCTTCTGCCATGGGATGGTGAAACCACAGCCCTGGCCAGATATGGCTTCTTGGACCTCCCAGCCTCCAGGGAAAAAAAAAAAAAAAAAAAAGAAATTTAAAAAAATTCTCTCCTTTAGAAATTACCCAAGATGTTGTATCATACCGTAGCAGCACAACAGAGGTGAACACAGGGACTGGGGCATAGCTCAGAGGAAGAGCTCTTGCCTGGCATGCACAAGGCCCGGAGTTCAATTCTCAGCACCAGGAAACACACACAAGCTGAGTCAGAAAATCAGCACCACAAGTTGGATTCTTGTTATAAAGAATACTTGAAAATGTGGAAGTGGCTTTGGAACCAGAAGTGCAGGGCAGGAGCAGGGCGCAGTGACACACTCCCATAATTTCAGCAGCTGGGGAGGCTGAGACAAGAGGATCCTGAGTTCAAAGCCAGTCTCAGCAAAAGTGAGGCACTAAGGTGCTCAGTGAGGCCCTGTCTCTAAATAAAAATACAAACTAGGGCTGGGGATGTGCTCAGTTGGTGGAGAGCTTCTGAGTTCATCCTCAGTACCCACTCCACACACACACACCCCCAAAAAAAAAAAAAAAGGAGAAAGAAAGAAATGCAGGGCCGGTCTGAATCTTCTTAGAGATTACTTAAGTGGCCATGATCATGATATTGATAGAAAGATGTACCTGAGATGAGTTCTCAGAATAAAATGAGGTGAATATTATTGGAAACTGGAGTAAAGTACTTTATATAAATTGAAAAAGAACTTGGCTACATTATATACAAAATCAAGGGTTTTTGTGGAAGGCAAATTTTAAGTGCAAGGAACTATGATATCAGGTGAAAGAAATATCTAAGAAAAATATTGAAGGAGTTGTGTGACTACTTTTAATTGCATATGGTAAAATGCAGGAAGATAGATGTGATTTAAAGACAAAAGTTACAATTAAAAGGGAAGCGGAGCTGGGTGTGGTGGTGCACACTGTAATCCTAGCTACTCGGGAGGCTAAGGCAAGAGGATTGCAAATTCAAGGCCAGCGAGGGTAACTTTGTGAGACCTGCTCTCAAAATTTAAAATTTAAAAAGGCACTGAGATGTAGCTCAGTGATAGAGCATACCATTTTTTAAGAAGAAAATATTAAAAGTAATTTAAACCCAAGTGTGCTATGCCTGGTGTGATTAGTGGATGCCTGGAATCCCAGAAACTCGGGAGGCTGAAGCAGGAGGCACAAGTTCAAGGGAGCCTCAGCAACTTAACAAGGCCCTAAGTAACTTCACAAGAGCCTGTCTCAAACTGAAAAATAAAGAGGGTTGGGGATATAGCTCAGTGGTAGAACACTTGCCTAGCATGTGCAAGGCGCCAGGTTCAATCCGCAATACCACACACACACACAAAAAAACATTTTAACAGCACCATTCATAACCATTAAGAACTGGAAACAACCCTTCAATGACTAAAAATGTCCTTCAATCATTAAACAAGGTATATGGAATATTACTCTGCAACAAAATGGAGGAACTACTGAAACACGCAGCATAAAATATAGAAGAATATCACTAATATAGGGGCTGTGAGTTTAGCCCAGTTATAGAACACCTGCCTAGCACCTGCAAGGCCTCATGTTTGATCCCCAGTACTTCAAAATAAACAAACAAACAAATAAATAAATAATTTTTTTAAAAACACTAGAATAGCTGAAGTTTAGCATACTGACTATACCAAGTTTTAATAAAGATGTGGAGCTGCTGTAATTCTCATACATTGTAATTGCCCATGGGAATGTAGCACGACCTGTCACAAACGGAAACAAGTTTGACAGTGTCTTATAAAGTTAATATGCTCTCACTGTGAAACCCAGCCACCTCCTAAGAAAAATAAAAATGTGTGTCCACACAACAACTTGCATGTTTACAGCAACTTTATTCATAATACCCCAAATAGGAAGTTGCCAAAATATCCTTCAGCTAACAAATGGGTAAGGAAATTGTGGTATATTTGTACAACACATCACACATGCCATTTTCTGCAATAAAAAGGGGTACGCATAATATGGTACCTTTTGCATGAAACAACACAGATGAATCTCAAAAGCCAGATTTAAAAGCCACTGCTACAAGATTCCATTTACTTGAAATTCTAGACAAAATGATAGGGACAGTCAGTAGACCCATGATACCCAGAGCCAGGAATTTGGGAGGATATGGACTACAAAAAGACACAAGAAAACTTGATTCTGGTAGTAGCTATATGGCTACATGCACTTATGAGAAAACTGAGTCCAATTTGAATTCTTCAAATTGCTCCCATCTCAATATCTTAGTTCTAAAAGCCAAAATAAAACAAAACAACAAAACAGAATCCTTTAAACAAAACAAACAAGCAACAACAACAAAAAGATATATTCCATCTTGAACAAAACAGCCTCGTCTTTGTTGGAAAGGTATCTTGCTCAGAACATTTATCTGTGGAGCTAGGAAGTAGGGCAAAGGGCATAGAAGGTGGTCTTAATGTTACCCACAGTCTGGCAGATCCGACTGACCTGTCTGAATGCACTGATGATTTCTGAGTGTGAGTGTGAGTGTGTGTGTGTGTGTGTGTGTGTGTGTGTGTGTGTGTGTGTGAGAGAGAGTGTATGTGCGCCAGGGATCGAACCCATGGCCTTATGCATGTGAGACAAGTACTCTACCAACTGAGCTATATCCCCAGCCCAAATGCACTAATTTTTAATATGGAAATGGTGTGGACAGCTTCGAGCTAGCCCCTACATTGATCCTCTATATTTACCTATGGCTTCCTGACAGCCAACCACCGTGCTCCAGCTCCACCTTCCCCAACCTTCCCCTTCCCGAGGGAGAAACACCTGTTGAAAGCTAACCTCTCCACGTCAAGTGTAGGAGATTGGAGTTCTACATTAAGGAATGACTGTGTGTTATGGCTTACATGTGAGATGTCCCCCAAAAGCTCATGGAGAGGAGAAATGAAGGTTTAGAGGAGAAATGATTGAGTTGTGAAAGCCTTAACCCAATCACTGAATTAATCCCCTGATGTGATTAACTGAGTGGTACCTGAAAGCAGGTAAGGTGTGGCTAGAGGAGGTAGGTCCCAGGGGCGGGGGGGTGCCTTTAGGATATATATTTTACACCTGGTAAGTGGAATGTCCCCCCCACGCTTTATGATCATCCTGTGAGCTGCTTCCCTCCACCACACTCTTCCTCCATGATGTCCTTCCTCACCTGGAGCCCTGAGGAATGGAGCCTATGGACTGAGACTTCTGAAACTGTGAACCTTTAAATAAATTTATGCTTTTAGTCACAGCAGCAAAAAAAAAGCTGGCTAAAACACTGTGTGCATACACGTTCTGGTATATTCTTTTCCCTAAAATGTTAACTTGCAATTTTAGAGCTAAGCATTTTCCCTCATTTACAAAGTAAGAAATGATCCCGCATCCCATGTGTTTGATGGACTCAAGAGATCTGCTGAGAAGAAAAGGGCTTTCAAGAATTCCAGCTGTTATTTTGCTTTGACTTTTGATATATCTTAACAACCACACAGTTTCTCATGTTTTCAATTTTTGGGTCTGGTAATAAAATTCTTGTTCCCCAAAACATCTTGCTGGCAGTTGTCGCAAAGATTCCTGTTGTCTTGTAAGCAGTATCAAATTCATCAATGGTTAGTAGAATTTGTAAGAATTCTTTATTTCAATGTGGACTTCTGATAATCTTAAATTCAAAAAATACGTTCCTCTGCTGATTCTCATTTCAAATGAGGAGGCTCATTTCAGATGATTGCTTAATCTTTATCTCAAAGAAAGTCTATCTTAAAAAAAAAAAACGAGAGAGAGAGAGAGAGGCTTTCTCCACACCAACTTGCCTGAACACATCTCCTTTGCTCCTTTTTTCTCTGTTCTTGAGATCTTCTGGCAGGACGGGTGCCTGAGAAGCAGCGTGATTTGCCATGACAATGATGTAGTAGTCATCCACGCACCTCCTGTGGATGCATTTCTAGGCTGAGTGTGACTCGGAGGTAGAACGAAGTCATTTCAGTTCCGAGTTTCCCACCTGACTCTGAAGTCTAAGGTTTAGACTAATGGCATTATTTCATATTGTGCAGCATTGAATTTTAAGAGGATTGTTTCCTTCAGGGTAGAACTTTTAGCAAACCTGTGTACAGCTTACTCTGCAATAATCATGGGAGCAGGCATTTGGTTAAAGCTCCAGAGACTGAGCGTCTTGATTTTTTAAAGTAATTATGATATAATCCCAGCTACTCAGAGGCTGAGGCAGGAGAATTATAAGTTTGAGGCCCACCTGGGAAATTTAGCAAGATCCTGTCTCAAAATAAATTTTTTTAAAAAAAGTGCTATGGATGTAGCTCAGTAATAGAGCACTACTGAGTTCTGGTCTCAGTACTTAAAAAAAATAAAAATGAGAAATTAAGAAGATAGAAAATTAGAAAGAAACAAAGAAGATAATGGTTGATGCTGCTGATGATGGTCATATAGAAAGATATGTTTGATGATGATGAAGATTGATAGATAAAAATAGATGAAAAACTAAAAGAGAATATGCTATATTAATGAGACCTGGTCAGGGAATAGGCAATGGATGGAACCATCCTTTGAGAAGAGCCAAGAAGAGGGGAAATGACCCCAATGCAGAGAAAGTAGCTGAATGAAGATCAATGAGTGTACTTATTTCCCCTGCTGCAAACCAGAGAAACGAATATATTTCATAAATACATTTCATAAGCCAGGTACAGTGGTGTCCACCTGTAATGCCAACTACTCAGGTCTAAAGCAGCAAGATCCCTTGACCCAAGGAGTTTGAGGCTAGCCTGGGCAAATAACAAGACTCCATGTCAAGATAAATAAGTGAATGCCTCTCGTCCTCTAATCTCCCACCTGTGCCTCCCATTGGCCGATCCCAAGTGGGCATCAGAGAGCAAGGGAGTCACTTGATGTCTCCCACCACCTCCACCGTCATCCTCTGGGGCACAGAACAGAATGGAGAAGGTGCAGGGAAGATCTGGAGGACAAAGGGCAGCCACTCAGCTGCTCCATTGTTGTCCTGACAGTGAAAAAGCCCACTGGAGTTTCTAACCGA